GTGTTTGGAGTTCGTCTTTCACAGAATTAATTATTTTTTGCTGTCATCACTGAATTTATCACGCAATCTTCTTCCTGCACATCTGTCGGACCGGAGCGCAGCGGAGTCTGTATAAATTGAGACACAAACGAACAGCTGCGACCTGCGCACCGCAGCGCAGCGGAGACACATGTAGTGTAAATCCGGGGTTAGTTCTCACACTCAAGAGTATATCTGTTGAACCTGGGCTTGCTTCACACCAGTTATTTTGCTTGCCCCATTAGTGAGCCTCATCAACCTGTTTTTACTGGACATTGTAAGGAAACCAAACCAGTCACACAACAATAAGAAAGAACTGATTCAATAAAACAATGATAAAATAAAGTCATTAATAAATTACACACTTTAAAAGAGCTCAATTTCTTTAAAAAGAAGAGACGCTGCTGGACCTTTTTACACACTGTATCCATATTTGATTCAAAGTTTGGATTTTATAAATCACAGCCTTTGCGTGAAAAGTGGCGTACGCAAGTTTCTGGGCTCGTTTTGTGCGTACGCAAGCTTTATAAATCCAACCCCTGGCCACTATCCTGCAAGAAGAATGGCTTCAAATCCCTCTGACCACTGTGCAGGACTTGTATATGTCATTCCCAAGACGAACTGACGCTGTATTGTCTGCAAATGGAGGCTCTAAACACCATACTAATAAATGATTGTGGTCTAAAACCAGGTGTTTCAGTTTCATTGTCCAACCCCTGTAGGTTATATAATGGATCTAATTGTTAACATTACAGTATGTATATGTTCAAAGAGGATTCCAGTAGATTTTTTTATTCCATCTTTACCAAAGACATCTTCAGTGATGGACAAATTTTTAATAAGTTGTTTAAAAGGTTATAGTGCGACAAGGCCTTAACAGGTTTTGCCAATCAACAGTGATGATAGAAACGTACCTTTCCGTCTCCTGTGATGTGTCCCACAAAGTCAACAGGACACTTCTCCCTCTGACAAACCCTCTCCAGGAAGGACTTGTCTGATGGTCGCAGCAGAAGAGCATTGCTCTCCTGATACTCTGCACCCCACAGCTCTAACACACTCAGTGTAGGGTCACCTTTCTACACATACACAGAAATAAAAAAGAAACAAGTTAAAATAAAAGATTTCCATTTCAAAATGCATAACTTTTTTGTTTTTTGCAAATATAAATACGGAGCCCGCCGGGGGTCAGTGGTGAAAAAAGAAAAACAGCCGCCGGAAATCCGTGTGCACGGATTGCTAAACTGAGAGCACAGATTAGTAATCCGTACACACGGATTACTAATCTGTGCTCTCAGTTTTTGCAATCTGTGCGCACGGATTA